GTGCTGGTTTTTGATGTTTAGGTGTTACTTTAAATAGTATGTAGATTTTGGAAATATTTTGCAAATAATAACGTTTTGAATTCGAACGTGTGATTAACAGTGTCAGCTTATTTATGTCCTTTTTCATTTATTTCAATATCCCATAGGGTTTATCCCAATACGTTTCGTGACTTTTCATCGAGTTATATTTTAGAATTTGATATAGGTAAATTCGACACAAAGAAGGCGAAACAGAGTGATATAAAATATTTTAAACCAGATGATCAGTTTTTTCCGCCTCTTAGAAATCTTTATTCAGACTGTAGAATGGTAAATAATACGCCCACTAATAAGCAGGAATCAAGATTGCAACATTACCTGGAATCTTCTTTCAGTAGAATACAATTTAAGTTGATTGGACTAACTTTTCCTGTTCTTTTGCATCAATTCTTGAGAGGAAAATACCATATTATTCTTAGAAGGTCCATGAGATGGGGTGATTGTTTTGTCCCAGAGTGTATTATTACACGATAACAATGCTTTTAACGTGTGCAGTAGGTATCCTACGTTTTTCATTACCAAGCTAATGGCTCTCGGATTGTCACGGGATAAGATATGACGTCATCCCCTGTAAGCCATCTTGCACACCTATTGTGTTTCTTGGAAGGATATTAATTGTGCTATTTTCTATTTTTGATCCATTATTTATTCTCTATTTTCAGTCTTGACTATTTTTATGGTTCTGCTTTCTACTTTATATTTATTTAAGTGATAATATTATGATGTTTATGATATTTTTTTTTAAAACAACTTTGCAACAACGTTTGTCACCAACGACGTTGAACAAATCTAAAATAAGTTCAAAAAACATTTGACAATAAGTCTAAATTGAGAGTTTCATTTGTAAAAAATCTTATATTTATACTTACGACGAATGCGAATATGTTCTCCCCTAATCGATATATCCTGTCGGTAAAGCTCTCGACTGACGTAGACATGTCTGCTAAATGGCGAAGGGTTGTTTTCCCCTTTCGAAGAGTACTTTAGCTAGAGATGCATAGATATGACGTCGAACTCTCATTAATTACATCGGGGATATTGTTAGTTATAATAAATGGCACAAAATATGAATTAAAAGCAAGTCACGACCAGACTGTTTTCGTTTTGGAAGAAATGCGTATTGATTTGGATATATTATTCTTTCTTTAATATTGTTTCTTAAAATTACACAGCTTGTTACATTTTCTTGATTGTTGAGGTTTGTCATTTTTTTTTTGTAGTAACTGTTTGATTATTAAGAATAATTTCGTGATGAAATATAATTGTTATGATAGTGAACATTTTTATTTCCATCTAGGCTATTATGATAGGTCAGCATTAATCAATCCGGGATTAATTGGACGTCCAACGCTCTGTTTTAAATAAATTCAATAAATATGCAAACTACAAGCATGTCATAAAAGCTTGAAAATAGTTTGGAATATGTTAATTTAATAAATATTAAATGTAGTCCCGTGGGATTTGCTTCTATAAATTATGTATCATATACCCCGATAGTGTTTTGTTGATTTATGCGTTCTGCTGCAAAGAGATAAGTGTACTTTTGGGTTGAAAGTAAAATATTACAGAAAAACACGCGTGTCATGTTAGGAATTTTAATTTTCAATATATTTGCTTTTTATATTTTCGCTAGGTTGTTTATAAATTGTTTGATCTATAGTTGAATCAAGATTCAGAAAACCAAAGAGATAAGGAACAGGTTTCTCTTCCCTTTTACATCGCACTTTCGTATAAAATTCGCCATTAAGGACTAGCTTTATGGCTTTTCAACTATATGCAAATCATGTGGTATCTTATAAATATTCCTACCAAGATAAAGGTTGCTTTAAGCGCCTAATTAATTCTCTAATAATTCATTAGCCGCATAAGAATTATATATAAAGGACTCAAGGAGTTTTTACTTCTCATTGGCAAAAATTTAATTTGCATAATGTCAGTAATAAACTATGTTGCAAATAAATACAAAATAATTTGTGTTCGATGAGGTTAACAGGAAAATCATCGTCCTTGGCCCTCGTGTTGGGTACACGTGGACTCATCCTGGTTGTATTTCTATATTACGCTGATACGATCATGTATACTCAGCAGTCGTGGAAAATTTGGTACTATGAATAGAATTGAATCTTATTGTTTTTTGTGAATTAAGTCAAGCGTTCGATGGAAAAGGCACTGCGGAGTCAATCATTTGTCGTTGGCATATATGTTCATCGTTGTTGCGTAGCAAAACTTTTGTGTAAATATAAATAAGTAAATAGGACCTTATATGTCGTCGGAGACATATAAGGTCCTATTTACTTATATTTTTGACTATATAAATACACTTACTTTCCGTACGTTTACCCTGAGCAAGACACAGTTAACTTAAACAAAACGTTCATTTTGTAAATTGCCTATATTTTCACACTTTTCAACGTCATTAGAATCGCTAATTACGTAAACGCTAATTAGCAAGTAATTTAATTGCCAACACATTTACACTGGGAGTTAAGCGCACTATTTAAATTGCCTATATCGGCTGTAATCTGCATAAGTAATTAACGCAGATTATTTTCATTAATTAATTCAAATGTGCACTATATTCTCACAGCAACGCGTGGACAGTGTACCTGTGCCTACTTAATTATTAGGAGTTTACCTCTATTTTGTTAATCTTTTTTTTAATCTTTTATTATAAACTAATAATATCATAAACTAATAAAAAATATAGCTTACACTATATTTTTTATTAGTTTATGATGTTGTTTTACTTCCTTATGTAGTAATATGGGATTATAATTCCATGAAGTTGTCGGAATACCCTGTACTTAAGTATTCACCAATTCCGTTCATTTATCAGCATTTCGGACGAATTTATAGTTGAGTTGCGGGTATCCTTATGGATTCACATATTTTGTGTATATGTAGACTACATAAATAGGTATCATTGTTTTCGAAACAACGCAATAAATATTTATCCAATTAATTCCGCCATTTTCAATTATAACGCAAATCACTCAAGCTCTATTGTGTCAATTTCAATTAGGGAAAAGTAAATGTGTATCTTTGCTAGCTCAATTAACATCATGCTGCCACAACGGCTACGACAGCCTTCTATTGCATTTTATGTACCATTAGTAGTGAGTATTGCCACTAGACTGTAGTTAACGTAGGAATTGATGTCATCGGTCAGATGTGAACGGGATAAGAGAGGTCTCTAATAGTTGTACTTCTAGTAACTGTTATTGCTATGACAGTTTGGACAATCTTGTTTTTATTGTTTATTAGAACGATATTGATATTGTTAAGGTCTTGTTCAACGTTTGTCAAAAAACGATTTGGTTTATTTTGTAATGTGGTAAGTTAATTTTAAACCATTCAGTTATAACTAACTTAAATTCTGCTAATAACCCCAATAAAGCTATAGCAAATTAAGTAATTAATGTATCGCAATTATGGACATCGGAATAGTCTGATGCATTTCAATGGTAGACAGTCCATATAATAACAAGAAAGAAATCAGGAACACGTACTAACAAATTAATTAAGTACGACAATAAGGATGTCACATTTTGTTTCTCAATGTCGATTACCGTTATACTGCATACATAATAGGGTTTGCACTTGATAAAGAAACTGAAGGTTGCTTCTATCCTTAAATGAGCCATCAAAAGGCTAGAAGAGGTCATTTAGAGGCACGTACGCCAAAATCAATGAATGTATGTCACGTTCGATACCAAAAAGTGTAAAAGGTCACAGGTATATAAAATCGGTAACATTATTACTAAGAAACAAGAAGTTAAACTAATTATTGGAATACGTATTGGAGGAAATGTTTCTCTCAGAAAGTCTCTGGTACAAAGTAATGAAATTAGAAGCCAGTTCTGAGTTTTATTTTTGGATAGAATAATTGTGATACTGATACAAGAAGTAAACCATAAAGGGGAAGGATAAAATCTAAAAAAACTAAGATCTATATCTACGCCATACATGTACATACGTGATTTTTTTCACTCAGAACTCACATTTAAATCTCTTGTAAGAATATCCGATGAATGAATTAATTCGATATACATTTTAAAAACTGGATTTTCTCGAATACAATTTATAAAAAACTAATTTAAAACTATTTATGTTGAGCTTGTTAGAACTAATGGCTTTGCCAGAAGGTTGCAATTATTAGATGTAATTACTTTTGAAACTTAATTCTAGATTTTCTATTTTATCTAGTTATTTTTCAATCGGACTTGCAGACTCACGTGGGTTGGGAACAGCTGTCGGCGAAGTTAGATCTCCCTAGATAGAAAAACTAATCGTATAATATATCGGCAAATTGGACTTGATTGTTTTTTTGAAATAAAAAGAGTAGTAGCTCTTTTGAGAGAGTAATCCATTGTTTTCAATTCGTGCCGAAGCATGACTCTCCCACAATTGTAGGCTTTTGGTATATTAAGCAGAAGCAGCTTACTATATCAAAAGTACTCAATTACCAACCTTTCCGGATTGAACTGGTTCACTATAATGATGACGTATAATTTTTCTGTGTGTTCGTTTGTATTTGTGCAAACAGCGAGCTCTTGTAGTTTCTATTATTATTCAAAGGATCTCATTGACATAGCTCGGGAATAACTTGTTACTATTCCTGTATCACTTTGAAGAAGTTATTATATTTCCAAGGTCCATTGTAGATATTCCGTTTATAGTTCTTCTATTACTGACATCATTATTACTCTATCAATTAGATTATTGGTCTTCAGTTCATGCTTTTTCCAACATATCATTAAGATCATCGCTTCTATGTGTTTATGTTCTAAGGATTTGAATATCTTTTTCTTCATCAACTTTGATGATAATAGTTCGGACTTTTTCGTATATAAATGAATTCAAAATTAGTACCTCTTAGATTTTACCATTTGCTAAAATAAAAAAGATTTTAAAGTCATTTGTCTTATTAAGGAACTATGTAACCATATGTAGTATGCTATGAAGCACATAATTGAATGTCGTTCTGTATTGTCGCAGGCCTACAGTTGCGGAGCATAGAGGAGCCAGCGGGAGGCGCGGGCGGCGGCATGCCCGCGCCTTCCTGCTACGATGCTGAATGCGCACGCACTGAAGCCTGGCTCGACGAGAACCAGGAGTTCGTGCATGATTACTTCTTAAGGTAAGAATAGTAGAATAAGTGTCTTTTTTCTATGTTCACCCGCAACAATCGAAGGAGTTACGAGTGCGTTGTCAACCTTTTTGGGATTAGGGATTAGGGATCAGGTTCCCTCACGATATTTTCCCTTTCAGCCATGTGTTAATACCCTAAGAAAGTATACATGACTTAAAAGAGTCACATGGGTGCTAGCCACGTTTCTTAACCCGCACCCGCACGTAAAATAGAAAAAGCTTTAAACTCCAGGTCACCACGACCAAAAAATGTAAAATTGAGTAACATGTAGGTATGTAGATACCAAACTTTTAAAATATGATTTATTATTTGTGTGTATTATCCACCCATATTTATTAGCCAAATATTTGAACTCAACAAAATATATAAATACATTTACAGCGATACGATATTACCGATTAAATAATCGTTGTAATGGCAAATCATTATTATTAATAACTAAAACTAAAGTAGTTTTAAACCGGTAATTAAAATTGTACATTAAATCAAGGTAAAGTGCAGTACTTACGACACTTAGTTAAGGGCTGCCAATGCAATTAGCGGGTACGCTAAAAGCATAGGTTATCTAATAGTTTGTTGCCTAATATTCAACAACAATGTATAGGCTAAACGGAGCAACAAAAATTGAGTTTTAAACTATGTGTTGTAGATAATAAAATTGTTAAATTGTAGTGGTTCATAACATAAAACCTGGCCTGTAAGGAAAAGGTATGTTTTATGTAATAAGTCGGCAAACGAGCAGACGGATTACCTGATGGTAAGCAATCAACGCCGCCCATGGACACCCGCAACGGAGGAGTTACGAGTGCGTTGCCGACCTTTTAGGGATTAGGGATTTGGAGATTTAGGGATTGGGGAAGGGTCCGGGAAGGGGAAGGATTGATGAAAAATAATAATAAATTACCCATGTGCTAATCCAGGGCACCAACTAGCTACAAACCAAATATCAACAAAATCGGGCTAGTCCTTTTTGAGTATAGGAATAAGACACATGCATCCAAATATTCTTACAAACTTTCACATTAATAATATTAGTAGGAATTAGTAGGATAAGTAATAATAAAAATACAAAATATAATTTATTAAATTGGGAAAATCCGAGTGAGCACTAATACTGGTACATTTCTGCCAGCCCGTCCATGAAATAATAGATCACGCTAACGAGTCAACAGCACACAAGCATACATTCATGTGTAACTTAAGTACTTTTTGGCTCACCTTTTTTAATACAAATCTGAATGGCGTATGACATAACGTCTCATTCATTATGCAGTCAACATACATTCAGACTACTAACTATCACTGTTTTGATTGAAATGTAGGCCCATTGTACACAATAACATTACAAAAGCCATTCACATTAATTTACGCGATCCTACATGCGGGGTATTTGTTAAAACGTTGCCTAAATGTGTTTTATTCAGGTCATATGAAGTCGTATACAATGGCTAATTCAAACGGCCGCTGCACGCTCGCCGTCCGAAATGCGAATTACTGGTGAAATCTGGCTTTAGGAGATTCGCTAAATTATATTTTATGAGCTTTGTTTATAAACGTAGCTAAGTAATGTTGTAATGTTAAATCAAGGTTGTTCTTTTAAAAAGATGTAGATAAGACTTATTACTAAACGGCTACAGTTAAAAAGTTTTTGCCTAGTCCAGTTTTATCATTACGAATTTAGAAAATTAATTGATCATATTCTCTTTTTTTTCAAAATTAATTCGTAAGACGTTAGTAATTTTACGTTGTTTAAATCCTACGTCTTATTATTATTGTTCGTCTAAGTGTATCGTGTGAATGTGTGTTTGTTTGGTTTTTACCTAAAAACTAAGGAACGGCTCTGAATTAAAGGGATTGATTATAATCGGCACAGAGAATAACAGTTACACGTGCGAAAACACTGTCAGAAATAAGTTCATTACAAAAAAAACTCTTTCAATATTTGATTAAACAAACAACTAAATCGTACTGACTATTTTGACACCAAAACACTTAATCATACTTTAACCAAGACAGAATTAAATGAGGTTAGTTTACAAATCAGCGTATCTGAGTAGTAACCGCTAAGCATATAACACATAAAATTAATTTTATTAATATAAATGATATTGCATGTAACTGGGTCTGATGTTATGAGTCATTCAATGTGCAGATCGTAAGGCTCCATTCACACTTGCACCGAGCATGCCTTGACAAGGATAGCAGAATTGGTTTAATTATCAAGTAGTAAGAAGCGGTAGTGGTCATATATTGAGTATAACATTAGAAATTAATAGTTTTTTATATGGGTAGATAGATTTGTGTGAGTGAGGTCCTGAAGCCCAATGTTATTAATCTGATCCATCATAAGGATTGGGAAAAGAGATCGAATCAAGTATCAATCATCTAAACATATGCGACCTAATTACAAAACAAGGTTTTTCCTTAGTCTAGGTCTAAACCATTTTGCTAGTTTTATATTTCAAATTGAAGGTAGGTGAAAATAAGATTCAAAATACCAAATCTGACTCAATCTTTTAAACATAGACTAAAGATAAATCTTCTTTTGCAATAAGGTGGATGGAGTTTAGTGCCGAAAAGCCATCCTTAGGCACGATGGGGCCGGCTCGACCGGAGTGGTACCAAGGCCATATCGAAAACCGACGTGAAACAAACGCATAAGTCGTGGTTCACCGTGTGGGTGAGGTTATAGGAGGACCAAACCTTCCTGCTCCTGTTCCAATATGACAATTCCAATCTTAAAATTACAATCTCCAAAAAAGTAGGTAACGCATTGGCATATCCTCTGGTGTTTCGAGTGTGATGATGAGCGGTGCTGATGGCAGAAGCACGTTTGCTGATCTGTATACATATAATATTTAGGTATCTATAGAACCCAAAAATTCAATAATACCGTGGATATGAACAGAGCTTTATCATATAAATCTCTTCAATTGACAATAATATGATAATGACATACATTCTTGACATCTTGGCACGATCCCCCTATTCACAACGAGAAAGCGGGTTCTTTAAAAATATTCGAAGTTTGAACTTTATTTTTGATGTCTTTAAGTAGTCAACAAACGCCTTCCATGTATCCAGTACCATCGATATCTATTTATAGCTAAAATACTTTTTTGTCCAAACTATTTTATATACCTACTCTCTTTCTCTTTCCGCTATTTTCTCCCTCTCTTGCTTCACAGTGTTGCTCCAATACTATCCATTACTACACAGTAGATTTCCGATTTCGAAAAAGGATTGAAGAATGATTCCGAACTTTTAAATGATATTAAAACGCCTTATAACAATTGTGTAATCCACTAATTGTCGTTTTAAGTCCGGATGTGAAATTGTATGTTTGTGAACGTCCTAGAAGAAAATATTAGTATGGGACACAAGTAAGCAAAAAAAACTGTTTTTCACATAAAATGAATGTGATAATATGTAAGTTTTAATTTCTTCTGTTCCAATAAACCCTCGCTCAGCTCGTATTCGTGGGCTTAAATGGTTTTATCCCATCGTACGAGCAATGCAGACATTGTATTTATCCTCCGCAGCATTCTGTTAATCCCTGAGTTGTCCGTTGCCTGTTTGTGGACCAATAACTCGTGTCAATAATGAAACTGCGATTAATTAATTGTTTTGCATTGAAAAGGAATTTATTTGAAATATTGTGTGAGTGATGGTCTCACCTTAGTGCCTAGTGCGAATTTACTTTTCTGTTATCGCGTTTAGCCCTCTGGTTGGATGGGTTAATTTGGAGCAAGCCAATCAGAGCGCCGAACGTCATGAGTGTGTCGGTTGCTATTGGCAGCAAACTTGCACTAGGCAGATTAGTTGTTATGGTAACTAGCTGTGTAGTAGTGATAACTTAGTGAACTACTTTTTCCCGTTCGTTATAGCTTTCTGATAAACCTGCTGCTTTTAAACTGTAATTTTCAACCCCAACTTGCTAAGCGCAGAGATTATGTCAAGTCCTCTTATGCAGAATAGGCCCATATTTTGCAAAACATTTAATGATTAGACAAGAACAATTGCTTAACATAGAGGGTCAGATACCAGTCAGTATCAGTACCTAATAAGTATTTTATGCTTGAATTTGAGACCCTGGTGTACATTTCTGCCTTTTAAACTGAGTATCAGCGTCGCTGCCGCGTGAGATTCTAAATAGGCCAAGTTTATAAGGAATTGATTTTGAGGTCGTTAGAGAAGAGTTCGAAAAACTTCACTCGTTGGCTAGACGTCCGAAAAGCGGTGCTAACAAGAAAATACTCGGCAGACAGCACCCAGTTAGCGGCCATGACAGATGAGCCTAGACTTGACACGTGCTACGAAACACAACATCCACGAAATAGGTCGACGACATCTATTTTGTCACAAGAAGACAACGATTGATATGATTCGACGTATAATGTTTATATGTAACCGATTGTGCTATTCATATAATATATATAATATTAAAATGAATAGCACAATCGGTTTGTAAGCGCATAACTCATAAACTCCTGGACCAATTTTGTTGAATTCGTTATTGCCAGCAAAAGGTTTATATAAAAGATAAATTAAGCAAAGTAGAAGGGAATGCCTGGAAATCGCAACCGAGTGTTTAATATAATTACCCAGTAGCATTGATCTGAAATGTTGCGTTAAAATAGCGAAGCTATGAGTTTTAAGGCCTAGCACAGTTCAATATTTAATTGGCACTCACCATTCGGGTTCATTTAACTCCCAACTCCCAGTCCAACATGCCCTTAATCAACCCTTAGAAAGCCCAGAACATTAAAAAGTCCGATAATTATTATGAAGCCTTTGACTAATATAATTATATAACTAAATTCGACAACGGTTTTATTAACATTGAAAATTTTAATAGAATGCCTTAGAGAGCTCCAAAAGGTTTTCAGTGATATTTTAACTTTAAAATATTTTGCGGCTTTTAATGAAGATTAAAGTTTCTGTCGTGAGTGATTTGGGTCGAATTGAGTTGTTTTAATGAAACCTTT